GTCTCAATTGGATTGATACAATTTTTGTCCGTGTAATGTTAAAAGAATCAATTACAAATTTAGTCTCGAACATTGAGATAAAAAACATTGATATGTGCGTGTTGATCTTTTTAGTACGACAATGAGAATCGACCTCACGACCTATTAATTATAGATATATGTCAATTGCTGTTGAGTTATACTCGTTTTGAAAAAAATAATCGGAGTAAATAAAATGAATGGGTGAAAAACGTTATATGGTAAGGGTGGACAGGCGAAAATAGATTTTAATTTGGCTTTTTGGCTCGTTTGCCCTTGCTTCACATGAATAGCCTACTCAAACTATATTACTTGTAAGCACAATATGTCAAATAATAATTTACTAGTTCAATCTATTGAAAGGAAAAATCTTCTTAAATAGAGCTATCCAATTGACAAAGTATATTAGGGATAAGTAATAATAAAAAGGAAATACAAGATAGGATAGAAAAACTTAACACTATAATATATACTACGAGATTCGTCCCAAACTTGAGATTACGTCCAGTTTTAAAGAGAATGTTTTATTATGATGTGAAGATTACAATGTGCCTCTATCTTGCTCTACTATGCTTTCAAGGTATCACAAGAATGACCACTTATGGTACATGAAAAATATCTTCGATGAACTCATAAGAATAGACTGCATCCAAGCTCTATAAACTCCCTTCTCTTGCTCCTCCATACTTCTAAATTTCAATCTAGTTGAAACAAAATTTTATGGATTTATCGCCGTAGCGTTGTTCCACTATTCCCTAACCTTGTGGCATTGCGAACTTTGTAGCATCATTCTCACAAGCGCCTTTTTTGTTTCTTCTAACAAAATCAATGTTTCACATCCACGTTGATGATATAAATTTAACCGAATAAAATTTAAAAATTCAGCAATATAATGAAAGTTTGATTCAATGGAGAAAATGAACAGCATAATTAAAGTGAAAGGGTTAAACTTCTAATTCCACGAAAAAGAAAAGGGTTGGTGGCGAAAAGAAAAAGAAACCTCTGGAAAGTTCAAAGTCGTCCATGTTGGTAAAGATATACGAGGAGAGGTGTCAAAAAATGCAAATTTCGGGCACCAAGAGAAGGAAAAGGGAAAAAAAGAAAAAGTTGAGGCAGTGGTAAGAATTAAGGAAAAAGTTTGGGAGCAATATGCAAAATATGGAAAAAGTCCAAATGACATTCAAATCAAAGAGAATCCAAAGGATCCTCAAAGACCAAATCCTCGTTTAAGAACGAAACAGTTCCATGGCGATTAAAATCCCATGGCGGAAGCTACACGATCGAAATCATTTTTACTTTTAAAATCACTCATTTTGTCCATCATTATACCAAATTAAAAATTGATTTCAAGGATAATTTTAAAAAATAATTATACTTAAATTTATCATTCCTCCCAAACATAGGATCAAATCAAATCTGGCTCTGCGGTTTTATCATCAGATGGTCCAGATTTCGTTCCCAAATGGATGCCACCTCTCATAAATCTCCTCTTACTAACTGCGCCCTGTATGCACTGCACTCTGCAATTATGCCATGGATTTTCTTCCTCTCTATCGTCCTTTTAAAATCTGGCTATTTCGGCACAATATTAAATTTTAATATTTGTTTTTATATTCTCACCTCCTGTGTGAAAACTATTTGCGAAACTTTTTTGTTCCCAAATGTTAATTATTTAAAAGAAATCATTAGTAATATTGTGGCGTGCTCGTGAAACGGTGTCGTTTTTTGATTCTCAGCCTCGATCTTACCGCTTACGGCAAAATCTATATAAACCCGCCAAAAGAAAAATGGATCATTTTCAGGAAAAAGGAAAAGAAGAGAAGTAACCGTCCGCACGTCGTCGTTTTCATATATGTTCACTGGCAATGGAGAAGGCCATCGGAGCACGCGGAGTTACTGCCGGAGGATCTTTTCCGGTGAACGGCGACATTCTCCATAACATATTGGGAAGACTTCCGGCCCGGTGTTTCGCGTCGGCGGCGTGCGTGTGTAAAACATGGAACTGTATCTGCAACCGTATCCTGTCTCGCCCTAAATTCGCCTCCGCCGTCTCCCTGAATCCCTCGTTCGACGTTATCCTTCTTCCTCTCCTCTTTATTTCGCCAATTTTACTTAATCAGTAGTAATTCGTTAAATTCGTTACGTTTTTCGGATTCAGGTGGCGGTGAAGGAGGTTCTTCGTAAGGTTCTGTCGGAGCCAATTCGGCCGCACTTCGCTATTGCCTGTATCGGCGTGGAGTTCGATTTGGAAGCTTCTCACAATCTTGTATCTCTCCTTCTTCTTAATTTAATTAATCTCGTGTTGATTGAAATTGAAGTTCGGTCTAATTAGTTTTAAACAACACATTTACTTTTAGAACTGCAAAGTTCAAAATCGAGTAAAGTGTTATAGAAATGAAATTAAAAAGAGTAAATCTAGGACTAATTCTGTATCTGTTGCTTCCTGCTAAGATCACAGAGGCATTGGGCTCAAGAACTCCGGTGATCACAAACGAAGCGAGAGGCATCATCGGCATAGACGCATTAACCAATGAAATCAAGGAGGTTTAATTTAATTTCATCACCTTAATTCCCTTTCGACGTTGGTTCTTGTTAACAAAGAAAATTTTACAGGTGAAGTGGGAATCAGTATCTGAGGACGATTCTGATGCTCAACAATACAATTCAATCTCCAACCGAAACAGAGGCATCGTTCTGGCCCTCGGATTTCTTCCCGGATTCAAGGCCGATGCCATCTCCCTCTTACGTCCAAATAAGGTCGGTTAAGATCCTAAGAAAAGAGATTTATAAAAGAGCCAGTATCTTGATCTCTTACAAATATTTATAATAGACACAGGTTACTCAATTGCGAATTGGTTTTGAGATGTAACTCTAAAGTTAAATATTAATTGGATTCTTCATAATTCAGCATGAAAAATTAATTGCTACCCAATTTTCAGGCTTCTCAAGAAGTTATGGTCGACAAGTTTATCATGGATATAAGAGACTATACAGCCTCTGTCTCTGCTTCTGCATCTCCTTCCTGCATCATTATGTTTGGAGTAAGTTTGTGCTCCTCATTCCTCAAAATGTTCAATATCATTCTTTTCACTTCTAAAAACTTCTAAACTTTACATCAATCCACTTGTTTTTCTTTCCATCTTTTTTTATTATGTTGCAGGATCAACATGTGGACATGAAACCCATCATTGCAAAACTTGGTGAGTACTGAGTAGAGTGCCAACTTTAACTGAATCCATAATAATCTATCTCAAAACTAAAAAAAAAAATCCACAGATTCTGCCATGGCCGAAGAGACGGTGATCGTGGGTGATGCGTGTGGCTGCTTCTTGACCAGAAGTAGAAGAAAAAACAACGAAATTGATGGGAATGATTCACTCGAAGTTGATGCTGTAGCTTTGGTACTCGCAAGGGACAAGAACGAGCCTCAAGGTATAATAAAGCGATGAAAGTTTAGTAAGAATTAGGATCCAGCTCTGAGATCGTAAAGTCACGAATTAATGAATATTTCTGTTTGTTAATAGGTGTAGGAGAAACCATTTTCCACTTCACGTCATCTACAGGGACAATCCCTTTTGGGCCACAGCTGGAAGCCGTTTCCACGAATGTGAGAGGCTCCAGATTCACGTGGCTCTCTGCACTTATAGAAGGAGATGATGAGATCCTTCATGGACACAGCATTCTGAAGGCTCTTAAAGAAGAGGTGCAATTTGTGAAATTTGACTTGTCTCATTAGCTGATCAGATCAAGCTTTTTATTTTTCTTACTTACAAATGTGGACTTGGGCTTGAATTGCAGATTGAATACGACGATTTGGAAACTGATCTGTTCATTGGGGTTGTGCAATATAGAGAACAGAGCATTGGTTCACAAAACCTGGGTCCCTCCCCATCCTTGGCAATGTATAAAGTTTTAGGGTAAGCCATTAATGACTTTCAAATTGTAAAATCTCTCCGTTCTGGTTGTAATTGTATGGTAGTTTTGAACAGAGGAGACGAGGAGTATTTTGTTGTGGAGGGCGTTGGAATCAGGCCAGGCGATTCCTTCTTATTCTACCATTCAGATACGGAAACTGCTTTGTCTTCTTCTTACAATGTATTGGAAGATCTTTCAACTTTAAGGCCGGACCCAGTTGGCTTCCAAAGCCTACCCAAAACCAGAGCTGCCGCGAACTCTGTTTCTTTCGGCGAGAAGAATGAAGTTTTTGGAGGCCTCATTTTCTCCTGCCATTGTCGAGGTCGGTCATATTTCGGACGTCCCAATGTGAATACGTCGCCGTTCAGTGTGAATTTCCCCGGAGTCCCATTGGCCGGAATATTTTGCGCCGGAGAAATCGGCCGGGCCTTCCCAAGATCCATCAGAGAGGTGGAGGAGGAAGAAGATGACTCTGTTCGCCGTTGCTTGCATGTCTATAGCACAATTTATCTAGTGATGTCTCATGTTGACGGAGTAGAAAAGGAGTAGAAGATAATGATAAGGATGGAAAAGGGAGGATATTAATCGGCTCTTTGTTTCCATGGGATATAGCTTATCTTGTAGTTTTTAATAAGTTGAAACTTATGGAATTCCTGTAAAAAAAAAAGATAACATTATAAAAATCTAAGTTTGTATATAAGACTTTTTAAAAATTAGTATGCATTATTTAAAAAAATGAGTTTTATTGGTTTGGATTTATACAACAGTAAGTTAACATGAACATAATTCTCCAGATTACGTCACATTTTGAAGATTGTCTTGACGATCTTTAGTTTTACACGTCGAGAACGGAATGAAACTACACACTAAGTTCGCATTGGAGACCATGATGCTCTAGATCTAGCAGGATCTAGCTTGAAGATTGCCTTCACAAAGTAGCTAAGGAGAATACTCTTTAGCTTACTCTTTGTAATTCACAAATTTCTTTGTCTAAAAACTATAGTATGACATAATAAACTTGAGATGAAGGTTCTAAATTGTCGATCGTATATGTACAATGACAGTTCTGCAACCGCTATCTTTCTAGGTGTTATCATATACACTATGTTGGCTAATTCACGATCACGATAACAATTCCTAATTGCCATCGAAATAGTTGTCATAACTAAGTATATTACGATGATAGTTAATGATAGAAACTATCTTCATACATTTACGATAATAGATGATGACAGTTTTATAATCAGTTATTCGAATCTCCATCCTTACTTAACTCTCAAGTTACACAAACTTAATGAAAAAAAACTAAAATGAATGAATTGAAGTCAAATGTCATGTGACTTATCTTGCGAATTCTTGAACCAAAGACCTCATGATATGTGATACCATAATGCTCAAAACCCTTGCCGCTGCACCATCTTTTAGAAGATCATACCATGTAGTTTTTTTTCCCTAATTTGTGCATATCGTTGTAATCTTGTGCATTATAGCATATATATGACTCATTCACCAATTATTAAAAAAAAAAAAAACTAACAACCTAACAACTTTTAACTAATATAAGAATTTGAGAGCTGCAGATTTTACAAATTATAAGTGAAAAGATTTATGTAATAACTCATAAGCAGCCAAGTTTGAGGGAAATTTTGAACTTTATGTCAGAAAAGAAAAGGAGAAAATCAAGCAGCCAAGCCACGCCGTCGGCCGGCGCCGCCACGTTTCTTCCGGTTCCTTTAAATACTGTGTTACTAAATTAGTAAATTATATATGATTGTATTTCCATTTATGTAATTAACGTTTTTCTTGTGCAAGTAACTTCATTTAATTCCTTTTCCCTTTAATGTTTTCAAATAGTTGGAGATTACAGAAATTCAAAAGAAAATTACACAATTCTTTCTTCCCCAAAACAAAGCTTGACGATGATGATCCTGAACCCAAGAGTAGTCCTTAAATTAGTACTCCATCCACCTGAAAAGCCCTGCATGCAAATTTCCCAAATAATATTTGCTTGTTAATTCTGGCTTTTGTTGTGAAATATTTTACGAATTGAGCAGTTTTTATTTAGTACGTACATTTCTAGTGCAGAGCTGGCATTAGCATCTAAGCTGGTTCTTGAAGCTGTCACATCCACATCCTTAAGCTGATTCAACTGAGATTACAAGAACACACACCCATCGGAGAAGAAACGAAAATTCTCCATTGATAAGTCTCTAAATTTTATAAAATATTTAATAAGAGCTAAATATATGTTTTAATTTCGGATGTCTTTTCCATTAAATCTATGTTCTTTTAAGAGGCTCTTGTGTTTTAACAATTTACTTTTTTTTTTTTTGCGGTGAAAGTTTAGGTTTCTTGATGATAACACATTAGTAACTGAGCTGGCAAAACTTTGGAATGTGAATTAGGCTCTCTAATAGAAAAAATTCTAATTCCACCTCTAAATTTTTAAGAAATTTGTGGAAATTTCAACTTTTTTGTTTGAGTGGTCTAAATTCTCATTTAAATTTATGATAATTCAATAACTATCTTATCATGTAAGCTTAATTACCGATCAATTCTAACATCATTCACGAAAACAATATCATTGAAAAATGTTAAAACACAAGGGACTAAATTGAAAAAACACTAGAATATTACAGACTAAAATATATAATTAACTAGTAATAGGTCCCTAAGTTTTTCATGGTGTATTTAATAGGTCTCTAACCTCTGAAGGATCTTTTTAAGATTGAAGGTCTTATAGACACAAAATTAAAAGGTAAAAAATTCGTTAGACGTAAGATTGAAAGTTGAAACATATTAAACCTAACAAGGAAAGTTGAAAAGTTTGTAAACCCTTTTTAAAGTTTAATTTTGTGCGTTTGAATTTGGACAAATTTTCTTACTCTTTTCTGCAGGCGGCTGTGCTCCTCTTGTACGCTCTTGTACTGCATATTTAAGACGACACTCAACAGTTAATTTTAAAAATATGTGTCTTCGTTTTTGTTGTCGTCTCTGTAGAAAACGACTGTGGTGGATAAAGGAAGAATGGGGAAAGTTGAGAAGTGATAACGTTACCTTCCTTTTCAACATGTTTATGTGCTCTGAGATGATGCGTCTCTGTTCAATGAATCACATTAAAAGAGAAAAAAAAGTTATAATTTTACCCAACTGACCCACCACAAAGCTAATGCGCTAGCCCTAATCTCTTTAATTTTGTTTTTTTTTTTCTTCTTATAACTGGGACGATTCGGAGCGAGGCTTTTAGTATTAAGCTCATTGGAAACCACCGGCGGAGGGTGTAGTAAGCTTGAGGGAGAATGGGGATACCCCTTCCCTGGCTGGTTCAAGCCCTGCGAAATGCATAGTCGGGATTCCCTCTTCCCCACTTTTCATTCGAGGAAGAGTCCCGCAACGTTGGTTATGGTAGTAGGTAGGAACTTCTAATGTAAGCCACATGGCACCGATTTTAGGTTATAAATATTTAATAAAAAAAAACCTCACATAAGGCTTAAACTGGAAATGTCTAAGTCAGTATGACCAAGAGAGACCTCAAAGTCTTGCCAACTGAATTGCTCCTTAGCCCTAATCTTTTTGGTTTCCATGTTTTCAGTTTCTAAACACCCATTATCATTTAAAAAATATAAAAACTTTTGTATAAACTTGGCAGAGGTTGGTTCAAATCCCCACCTCACCCGTTGTTGAAAAAAAAAAATTCCACATAACTTTATTATAGTTCAACGGGTGTGACAACACATAAGCAATTTATAGGTTGTAAACTGGAATCAATATATGCCAATATTCAGTGAACATCTATAAAATTCCTAAGAGAAGTATCAAATTAGACACAAAATTGACAGAAATTAAGAGGGTTTTACCTTTTTAGAGCGCACACGTTCAATTCCTACACTCAGTTGTCTTTCAAGCTGTTTCAGATCCTTGACGCTCAATGGTCCTAAATCCTCTCCAGCAAAATGCCTACCCACCCAACAAATATAATACACAAATTTTCATGACGTATTCAATTAATTATTAATTTAAAAATAATGAATTAATTAATATTACCTAAGTCTGGACTCCAAGCTGCTTATTGATCTCCTCATCTCCTCCATCTCACTCTTCCAGAACTACAAACCCACAATTACAATACAAATCACAACACGTACATGAACAGAATTAATTAATTAGCTCCGTAATTAAATTAAATTAAGCACCATGACTCGTGAATGTGGGTGGTTGGATTGCGGTAGCCCCATATCACTCCGGTACCTGGCTAGGGTTCCGTCCATGCTACACCCAATCAACAAAAATTACACATTCTAAATTATTAAATTAGAAATAAAACTTTAACAAATTTAAATTAAATTTTCTTGTTAGATGGAGGATGAAATGAAGAAAAAAGGGTATAGGAATTAGGAAATGAACTCGTGGCTGGAGAACTGGTAGGCCTTGCCGGAAGGGGAAAAGACGAGAAGGGCAACTTCGGCGTCGCAGAGGACGGAGAGCTCGTAGGCTTTCTTCAAAAGCCCATTCCGACGCTTCGAGAACGTCACCTGCCGACTCGTCGGATTTTCGATTCTCTTCAGCTCCACTTTCCCTCTTCCCATTTCTCCCGATCTGCCGACGAGTCGGATTTTCGATTATTCTCTCTTCAGTCTGAGTCTGAGTCTGAGTCGAGTCTAGTCTGAGACAGGATATATAGATGATAATAATAATAATATCTTTATTCTTTATATACGCAGCTTCATGCAGTGTCAGGTAGAGTAGATAATTATTAAAAAAGAAAAAAGAGAATACCATTAGATTTGGCGGCTTAATAAAATAACAATAATAAAAACAAAAAAGAAAAAAAAGGAAAATAATTTGACACCGTCAGCCGTCAGGAAGACTGAGAAAATTCCATGATTCGGAGCGGACAAGGAAGTGATGGAATAATAGAGAGAGATGTGGGGCCAATGGATCCCCGATGCGGTATGATGCGACGCCATTTTAGCCATACTATAACCTTTTCCAATCATTCTATTTCTCCCCCTCCCCTTTCTAATTCCTATGCCCGCCCTTTACTTTATTTCTTTGAGAAATCTTAAAAATAGTTATTGATGGCAAGTTTTTCAGAGGTGTGATTATCTTTTGAAATGGAGCATCCTCGGACAAATGAGTTTATAATAATAATTTTCGACATCGAGTGCAATTCTGCGTTCAAGACTCTGACACTCGAATTAATAATCGGAGTAAAAATGGTAGAGAACGACACCTAGTGGCCAACCAGGAAGAATGCTCATTTGGGACACAGTGCTACGTGTTGATGTTGTTTTCCGTCGAGCTCACAGATTGGTCACGAGTTGCTAAAGTGATCTCGAATGAACCTGTACAGGGAACAAACACTCTGACTAAGTCAGTTGCGAGTTCAAGCTGTCGTTCTCAGAGGAAATAGTGTACCTGAGACTTAGGTGGAGTGTCCCTTTTTATAAGCAGGTGGGGGAGACAAGGTCGTTGGGACCGTTCCGACCGATAGTTATGGTTGTCGGGCCTCCAGGTTGGTGGCCGGACCTGAGGTCGGGTTTGTTAGGTCGGTTGATACGAATTGTTTATCTCAGCTCAATATGGATTAGATCGGTGAATACTGTTGGTCCATTTACTTTTTGATAACTCCAAACTAGGTTCATGCTTACACATGTCCAATCTGATTTAGACCACCAACAGTGCGCTTTGTCCTATGGGATTCTGACCCGTGCAAATGTGGTACTACCACCTGCCAGACTGTCCCTCATGCATACTGTCACCTGTGGGTTGCGATGCGTCTCCCATATCGTGCAGCGAGGGTGCATTCGTCACACTCCTTTGTGCATCCGTTCCTAACTGTTTGTGGTCCCCTTTCCTACTGTTACCTTCCAAAGCCTGACATTCCACCTGCTCGGATTTCTCCAACAATAGTTATTGGGGATAATTTGGGGCTAACTTTTTTTTTTCTTCTCTTTTTTTGGTTCAACAATGGCCAGAATAGGAGATCGAAGCTCCAACCTTTTTGGTCTATAATATATATCTCAACTTTTAACCAGTTGAACTATATCATGATTGGCGCATAATATGGTTGGTAAGGTACTTATTCCTTTAAGTTAAGGTTCGATGTTTGATCTCCACCCTATTTGTTGAACCAAAAAAACTAAAAATGGTATTTCAACTAATTTTTCTAAAAAAAGTTTAATGAACAAATTAATTTAAAATTTATCATGGTTCTAAGTAATTTTGTCTTTTCAGAAGAATATTTCATTGAATAAAATATCATATCGTGTTCTAAATAGTTGATTTAAAGAAACATTATACTTCAAAAAATATAGTTTGAAATTTATTTTTTTTAGTATGATTCTTGAGGTGTCACTCTCACAAAACAAGTTTTCGTGAAAGACATTTTGAAAGCTCTCACACTTTTTAAATAAAATTTCAAAGTATTTGATTCCCTCAAATAATTTTGTAGAATAAATAAATATGTATATGACAGTTATATGCACAGATAAATGTACGTATACTAATATAAAGAACATGGTATTCTTGCATATTCTTTACAAAAAGCAAAAATCATGTCCTATAATATAAGGCTATAATACAATGTTTATAAAAATAAATACTTGATGTGAACGTAAGCTCATATCTCTTAGGATTACCTGGAATAAATTTTAAAAAGATAAAAATGAAAACTAACTTATGATTATTCAATTTTCTTTAGTATTTATTCAAACGGCATATATTTCAGTGGGCATAATGTAACAAAAAGGATGTAAGCTAAGTAGTTCCCACTGGACTAACCTTACCATGTAAAATTCTGACACCCAATAGAAAGTAGATAACATTTTTTTATTCTATTGCATAGATCGAGACAGTAGAATATATCCCCTTCAATCCAAATTTAATTCCGGATTCTTTTTAATTACAAATTGAGTCCTAAATTTTTAAGGTTGTCCACTTTCCAAATTTTGCCAACTTGAATTTAAATTTAATTAAATTGATTAAGGTATATAGTTTTGGTTAAAAGTTGGTGGGTTTAAATTACCATCCCTTGTATTCAAAAGTAAGTCTCCAAATTTAATAATAAAAATATCTATCCCGTTTTTTTGTTGTTGTTTCATTTTTTTTAATAAAGAAAAATAAAATTGTATAGGGTTATAATCTAATGGATTAAAAAATGATAAAAAAAAATTATTTATAGAAACTGGATCAAGAAACAACCATGTAATGTTTTTATTTACGTTGTCGTCTCTCCCATGTAAACCATATATTAATTTTTAAAAAATGAAAAAATAATATTTTTATTTACGTTGTCATCTCTTGAAAAGACAATCATGTAAATGTGCGTTTAGTTGGTCATATCTTATATTAATTAAAAAAAATATCAAATGTAGTGCCAACTGAACGTCATGTATGCAAAAGACAACCTCTGGTTACCTATTCATAGGTCGTCTGTTGAGGGGACGACTAACTATTTTTCAATAGTAAATTTAATAAAAATTCATATTAAAAAAATCAAACTGAGCAAATATTGACACAAAATTAACTTTTTTTTTCTTCTCTCTAGGGACTTCCAGCATACCAATAAAAGAGAATTTAAAATAGGCTAATTAAGTAGCAACATGAAAAGGAAATAGACTAAAAAAAAATATAATTGGTCTAAATCAGATACCCCGTTAAACATGAAAAGGGGGAACAAGTGGCAGTGTGGGCCGACCACGAGTGGTACCAATCTTCAGTCGCCATTTATCAGAATTGTGACACGTAGCAGCTGATCGGGTAAGAATTCAGTGAAAGTGAAGGAGAGAGTGACACCTAATACCGCAAGATGTGACAGGATTAGACCGCGATTGGCTGCAAATTCAAAAAGGCGCGTGCAGTCCCACTAGACCAACTTTTCTTCACATTTTTTTCCTTAAAGAAATCGCAACGTTACGAAGCGTGATTGGGCGATGGGTTTCCCATTTGAAATTTATTAAAAAAGGAAAATGCCTCACGACACGTGTCATTATATCCTTCATTTGGAGGCGCGATGGCGATGGCAGCCGTAATGTCCCCTAAAGGCCCCAACAACATTGCCTTATTCCACTATTTCATAAACCTAGGATGTATTGCTGCCCAATCTTTTTTCCATTAAAAATACCGTTCCCCCCACCTTCTATTTTTAAGTTTTCAATTTTCAATTGTTTATATTTATATAATTGAAATAAGGAGAAACATAGAAGACATACACTACTTGGTAATCTTATTTTATGTTGAGCTGTCGTTGATTAGTGCGGAATATATGATATGTCACATTAGCTTTTTTTACACGTTATAAGTCTTGTATTTCTTTTCTTGTCATTGATTGTGTAACTTTTAATCAATCAAGTTAGGTTAATGTAGATGTCGAAATCCATTAATAATGTCATTCTATGATCTGTAAAGTAAAAATAATGTCTAAGATATTTCAACTAATGTTGAGTTGGGTGTTTGTTGAAGCAAATCTAATAATGCTTGAATTAATGTACATGATGGCAAAAATTTTTAAGAGACACGTTGGGAAGAGATTATTGAAATTGTTAATAGGATTCCTTATGAGATTAACTAGGATGTAGGGAGTTTACCTAGTTGGGATAGAAGACCGGCAAAATGCCTAATCAAAACAAAGAGGTACCCATGATAGACAAAACACTATCATTCTAAGTTGGGCCGAGATGTAGTTGGTGAAAGGTGGGGGTGTACCACCAATGTTAAGCCAAAAGATTTTTGGACTGAACATGGCGAAACGAGGCATGTTTCTAATGGTGGTTTGATTTCAGTCATGACAATATGACGTACATTAGACATTCATATTATGTCATTTCATATGAATTTTCATGTGGGAGAGTTAGTGAGTGACATTTGTCTGCTAAAATAATCATACCTGTATTTGAAATAATTTAACTGATAACAAATATTATAGTCTTTTGAGAAAGTAAAATTCACTGCATTTCCGTTATATAACTCCAAATTAAGACAACTGTAATCAATGTGGCCGACACATCAATCTACTATTCACCCCTCATCTAAATCACAATCACACCTTTCCATAAGAATGGAGAAAATAACACGACTACCATCTTATCTCAATAAAAAAAAAGGCATATAATTATTCAAAAACAGAATGTAATCAACAACACTTAGCGTGGAATCTACGAATAACTTAGGATAAACAATAAATTCTACATTTAATCATAATTATTATTCATTCTTAAGATTTTATTTTATTAAATTCTCAATCAAAGAACCAATATCAAATAAGATCACCCACCACACACTCACGTATAGTTCAACTAAAAAAATAATATAACATGAAACGCACCGTTTCTCGCTCCTCTTTTTCCCCTCGAAGAGAGAATTAAAACAAAAAACACAAAGCTAATTAATTAATTAATTCAACCCCAAAAAATAGGAGGAAAATTTAAAAGGAATGGAGGGACAGAAGAGTCATTTCAGTAGATCAGCCGGTGAAGATATGGATATCGACGGCCAAAATAAGAATGGTGAAGATGCCGAAGAAGAGGATGGTATGGACGATAATGGCCTTGCCGTTGGTGGTGAAGCTTCCGAACTCCACCATGCGGGCGTTTCCCGGCAACTGAAAGAGCAGCCCCGGTGAGAGGAGAATGAAGAGCAGTAAACCGAACAGAACCGGCGCCCAGTCCAGCATTGTTCCTCCGGCTCCGGCTCCGGCGACGCATTCAACGAATTAAGGAGGTGGCTGTTCAATTCTAAGGCTGGCTCTGCCCTTCTATTTATAGAGTAAGAGATTTGGTTGAGGTTGGATTGAGTATAATCTCCACCGCCGTCGCTGATTTGGGTTTGAATTAGGGTTTGAGGATTTTAATTATGGCGATTCAATCAAAAGGGACTGACAAAAATAAAGCTGGAATTGTAAGGACTAAGATTTGTGTTTCGCTTTATTCATTTCGTGTATAACTGCGATTACTTGAAGGCTGTGGGCTGCTCTGCTTTTGCTTTTGTTTATGTGAATTTTTTGTATTCCACAGGTGCCCTTCCTCATTGGCTTTCGCATCTTCTCATTTTTATGTACGTTTAATTTGCATTATAAAAATAGCCTTTAGACTATGATCTTCAATTTTCCTTTTCCTTTTCCTTTTCCTTTGAGTTTAACTAATTTAGACTATGATCTTCAATTTTCTTCTTCCTTTAAATTTTATATGACACGTCGTGGGGTGATTCTACACAATATATGTCTTATCTATGATTTGAGGTTCCCTCATTTCTTTTTCTATATATTTAATTTTATATTCTATAATAATCTTCGTAAAAAAATTTAAATCAATTAAATTCTATTAATTGAGTCATCTACAAGTGAACATAAATTATAGATTTATTTTACTCACTTTTTTTTTTAAAATTTTCAGAGTACATGCGAATGATTAAATTTATTTCAATCCATATATTATTGTGTTAATTAATCCATTTGAGAGTAGTAATAATGATAATCTAAATTTGGTTAAAGCATGTATTTCCTGACCAAAAAGTTGTGTCGAATCCATACCCTCACATATTGTACTAAACAAAAAGTAATAGTAATGCTAAATACAATAAATAATTAATTTATTCATAAAATCAAGTAATTTAGCCCAAATCTTGAGTTCGAATCCTCTCCACATGTTGCGGAAAAAAGAAGATCACCAACCTATGTGGAAATATACTCATATTAAGAAAATGGTTTTACAATTATCTTAACATAAAAGTATTTATTTAAGGATTAGTGACCATGCTTAATCTTACTCCTATAACTCTTGAATTTTCAATTATAGTTTCAAATATAATTCTTCCATATTTCTCAATAAACCGTTGAATTAAAACTTCACAACCACATTAAAACATAATAGACAATTTAAGCGATAAAAGATATTGACGAACTCCCTTTTGATTTTTGGTTATATAAAACTATCGTTATTTTTTAGAGAAAAAAAATTTAGGAAAAAAAGTTTTAATTCTTAAATAATTATCTAATTAAGCCAACCAGCAAATTATTATCTAACAAATTAAATTAATTTAAGAGGGAGAGGAGGTGGATGGGCGTGGATGGGGCGGCCTCTTCTAATGGCACAACAAGAAAAGAAAGGAAATGACCGATAGAGAGCGCGTGTGTCGGTTGGTGAGAAAATTGTCAAAACAATAAAACGTGCTGAAGAAAAAAAACAAAATGAAGTAAATATATCTGCTGAATCTCTATAATTTCTTCAATTGTCCAACTAAAATGCCCGTAATTGGATTTATTATGCTAATATTCGATAAAGTAATCTTAATGTTATGCCTCTAAAACAAATTAATAATTGGAGGTATTTGTCGCTCAATTGGTAATATTACTGCATTTTTATGGATTGGTACTTAAAAAATGATATTCATATTTATGGATATTTCGAAGAATTTCCGTAGACAAATATTGTGAAACCAAACCAGACCAACAAAGCTATACTAGATGGGCTTGGGCTTGGATTTGGGCCTTAGAATTCAATTTTTTGTCGTCATTTGGCGGGTCGGAAAAAATATAGGAAAAGAATAGAATTTTTAAAATCGTCGACAGCAGGGTTCGAACCTGCGCGGGCGAAGCCCAACAGATTTCAAGTCTGTCTCCTTAACCACTCGGACATATCGACACTGTTGAAAGAATTGCAACTTTTATAAATTAAATAAAGAAAAATTAGGAGTTTAATTACCGGATAAGCGAATTGATCGGAGACAGAACAGAATCAAACATGAGTTCACTCCGATTTCCCCCTCCACTGGTTTCGCCATGGAAGAAGAAGAAGAAGAAGAACAACCACTCCCCAGGCTCCAACCAAACCTCTCTCCCTTCCATGGCCGCTCTTCAAAATTCAGACCAAAAACCAATACTCCTCTCTCATCTTCTTTCTTTCGCCCTCTCCGTAACCCTCAGCTCCCCCTTCCCTTCTCTCGCAATCCCTTCTCTTAATTCCCTGTCCTCTCCACTTTCTCCCACCACTCCATTTTCTCAATCCAAGAACTTACAAATCGGACTAGAAAACGGGTACGCTCTCAACTTCTCTGGTTAATTCCTCGATTCCTTTTGTAGTTTTCTCTTAACTTTTTCTTTTCCATTGGATTTATTCATTTTTGTAATAATTTTCATTCTGCCCTAATTTTATGCACAATGCGGCATAAATCCCCCAATGTTGCCGTTTTTGTTGCAGGAAAATTCGGCCCTGCCCATCCACCAATCCGGCCTGTGTCTCCACAAATCCTAAATCGTCATCCTTCGCCTTCCCTTTAAGCATTCCCGAAAATTTTACTGAAAATCCAATTCAGGTCTTATTTCTCTGAAAACTGTGCACTTCATTGTCGTTCTAGATTATTGGTTTCTCTTGGTTTTGCTTTCCATGTTTCAGCTCTACTTAATTCATTTGCAGAAGCTGCAGGAAGTGATCCTCAAAACGCAGAGAAACGCAAAAATTCAGGTGGTGGAAGATACCCCATATGGTAATTGAACTGAACTTACCTAATAGCAGTTTTGAACTTTACATTACGAATTGATATACACATGCCTCGTTAAACTGCTGAGATTGGGATGAGAATGGATTCTATACGCATAGGGAATCGCCCTCTTTAGGAGCAGAGCCAAACATTTTCACGGAGTGGCAAAATTTTATATTTTAACTTTCTATATATATTATATAGTTTGACCCTTTATCATCCAAGACATGCTTTACCTTTTCGCAAAACAAAACGCCTTGCATTAGGCTCACTTCGCCACTCCAAGTGACAACAAAAGTTCTAAGTTACTAAGGCTTGAATCCAGGATTTCATCCCAAGCCCTTACCTCCAGAGCAGCCTTTTAAGGGTGTGCTTTGATATAATATTAGAACCATAGATCCTTAGATGAAATTCTTGTAAATTTGCTTCCTTCCCCTTCATATTAATAGTTCACGTGTTAGATCTAAATACTTATATCCCGAGCCGACTCGTAAGAGGAGGATGCTTTTGCTTATACAACAACATGATAACCACCAGGTCAGTATTTAGAGGCTGAGGTTGATGGGAACTTTGGACGAGATGTGATTGAGTTTCTGGTGAAAGGAGATGTGGTTGCTTATAGAACCATGGCAACAAAAGTGACTTATGTGTATCCCTTCACTACTGCTTTTGGAGACTCCAAGGGACAGGAAGAAAGAATGAAGAAGATCATAGACAACTTGGGTTGGTATTCTCCAACCTTCGATTCCATGGATCAGTAATCAGTAGCATAGCACAAATCTTCTTTCTTCTTTATTTTCTCCCCCATCCATTTTTTGTCACTCTGATTAAGCTAATTTCCAGCCACAAATATTTTAGCCTTATATCAGAATGTGATGCCAATCTATAGTTGTTCTTCATTTACCTCACATATATATTTATATATGGGATGGATATTCAAATTTACAATTTAATTATCCATCTATGTTTTGAATGACTGATTTAATAGATATTTACGATCAAGAACTTCAATGTGGGTTGTTTTCCCTAGAGATGACGTAGTTGTATGAGCCTTGGACATTGTAGTATCACCTACCATGAGGTCTGGAATTCAAGTTATGTGTTGGACATAGTGTTATTCAACCCAAACAACGAGTCCAATTATAGGGATCCATAGCGTAAGCCACACGAAATCGATTTCAAGGAAAAAAAACTTCAAATGGGTAGTACTCTTAATTTTCGAGGTTTTGTTTTGCCATTGATTTTTCATATCAAACTAGATATGAATCTTATAATATAACTAATGGCAATTCAAATAAGAAAATAATAAATTTAGAAGATACTCTGTGGGATAGGGTGGGAAAACTTATTTGATCTTGATCATCTATCAATAAAAAGGGGAGATGAGTCTTGAAACATTTTTCGTGCTATTGACACAAATTAATACTATGGTTGGGAAAGTTGATCCAACCCATAGATTTCAATTAATATATAAATGAAAAACCTTTGAAATGGGTAATACATTTGGAAAGAGAAATAACGAATGAGGGGGAGACTTGTGATAGTGAAGTGGTAGAAATAATATGTTGTCTCAAAACAGGGCAGGTGCCCTAAACTTTGGATAATTATATATTATCGAACTAGTAACCAGAAAGTTATTCCTGGTTCGTTGGTATTTTGGTGTCCATCTAAATAAGTTAGTTTTTATTTCGAATACACTTGTATTGTTTTAATCATATTCTTTTTAATGAATTCTAATTTATTCCCAATATAAAATTATAAATAATTATAAATATATAGTAAAATGAACGTTATACTACATATATCAAAAGAAATTAAATTTTATTAAAAAAATTTACTAAATATTTTAGGTTTCAATCATCTTTCTTGTATGTTTATATATGTTTCTTGTATATTTATATAGATAATTAAATCCTACTTTATTTTAAAATAAATAATATTAATTTATGTATGTATAAAGCTATAATTTCTAGATTTGGGCTGAGAAGAATTGGTAGTCTTTTATACTAAACAAATTAACATCAAACACAATAATTTATGGGAAAATTACTCTTTTGGTCGTTGGTTTCCACTAATGGGTTGGGTCATTTTGGTCATTTTAAGTTGTCGATGTACTTTTGACTCATGAATTTTAAGACATTGGTTTAAATGTTCCTCCACAAACAAAACAAAAAATAAAAATATGACGTCAAAGCAGCATAGCTATACTTCCAACAATGAAATTGTAAGTTCGATCTTCTAATCCACGTCTGATTAAAAAAACAAAAAACAAAAAATCTGACTATACTTTAGAAAGAGTAACATGGGGAGCTGTAAAAGCAGGATGTGTCACAGTTTCTCTCTCTCCTCTCTAACCCTCTCTCTTCTCATGGATACACCTTCATTTACAAACTGTAAATGTGTCTTTTGAATACTCGAAGACTAAAAATGACCCATCGGTAAAAACTCAGGGATAACAATGTAATCTTCTCATGGTTGATAATTTAGTTTTCAATATTTATTAATCCAAGTATTTAGAATAAATGCGTCTAGAATTATATTTATATGAATTTATGTCCATTTGACCTAAAATTCTAGATAAATTACGAGTCTTCGAATTTTCAAACTCAGGTGTTATGTTGTTGTACTAATAAATAAATAAATAAATAAATAAATATATATATATATATTTTTTTTGATATGATCTTTGTCAAAGTGAACATAGTTACGCGGTTATTGACGAATCTCAAATCAAGAGTTGTGAGTTTGATCTCCCACCCATATTGTACTAAAAAAATACTGATATTTAACTTAGAAGATGGTAAATAATTTAGGAATTTACCATTTAGACAACCTTCTATGACCAAAAAATGACTCGAGAGACTGAGAGTAATATTAAACCATGATAATATCATTAATTAATGGTAAGGAAAAAGTATAATAGTAATGGGTTTTAATTTTTATTATAATTAAATCAATTGCTTTTTCTTTCTAAAAAATCCAATTACTTTTAGATTTTTCTCATAATATGCTATTTACTAATAAAGAAAAAGCCAATTAATCCATGATTTTTCTCATGTGCTATTTACCATACTTTAGGCCTAAACAAGCACGCCATAGCCGATAAATCAAGGGCATTTCAGGGATTTGATTTATGGCCACCACAGTCCATCAATTTTGACCAAATCATCCCTAGTCTCGCAACGCTCAAGGTATTTCTTCCCCCACAAGGCCACACCTCCTCCAAACCCGAAACCAAATTATCCCGATTCTTGACGTTCTCTTCCCATCTCGGAGAAATGGATGCCGTAGATTCAGTGGTCGATCCCCTCAGAGAATTCGCCAAGGACAGCGTTCGTCTCGTTAAGAGGTGTCACAAGCCTGATCGCAAGGGTATTTTTCTTTCTATTGTCAATGTGTTGCGTGGATCTGATTCAATCGAGATCATAGATTTTGTTTTCCTTTTCGGTTTGACTTATACTATATTCTGGTGGTGCAGAATTCACCAAGGTTGCCGTTCGTACCGCTATCGGTTTCGTTGTAATGGGATTTGTAGGGTTCTTTGTCAAGCTAATCTTCATTCCGATCAACAACATCATCGTTGGATCTGGTTAGGTTAGGTATGAATCCAATCCAATAGATCTTCTTTAAGGACGATCTAGTTCCTTTTGGATCTGGCTTGCATTTGTTCTGCATCATGCTCATATTATTGAAGATTTTTGCAATTATGGAACGGATCGGTTACAGAAGTTTGCTTAGTGAAACTTTTGGTGGATGAGCGAGTGCTACCTTACGATGGGATATTAATTTTAAAATTTGCGTTCGATCCACACGCATGCAATATTTATCGACTTTTATGACATTGTGCTACCTCCTCGCTGTGGATTTTCTTCATCTTCCTTTCAAGTTGACTTTGGTTGCCATGGAATGCTCAATTGAAATTAAGAATCGATAGGAAACATTATAGAAGCAGTAGACTCTGTTATATTTTCAGTTAATGTGGTTTTGATATTAAGTCCTGATTTTGTATTTGACCTTAATAATTCTCTTGAGAAATTTTCCAGATCACCGGAACTATTTCCACCCTCTCTTCTCTGTATACTAAACTATAGATTTTGTATTTTTCTAAACGCACTTGGTAGTTTGCTTCTTCCCTTCATCTTCTTTAAATCTTAATGAATGTCTTAAATAGTGTATCATTTGGCGTGCCCCTATCAGAAACTTCGAAGATGAATTATTACTGCACAGCAATGACATGCATATTACGAGCGGGTTGTAGATTGTTACCATTTCTTGTACTCGCCCCTCACAATGTGCATGCAAATGCACTCTTACTCACCTGAAAAACACTCGTTGATTAGAGGGGATAGGTATACCATTTTTCCACCTTCAATTTCTCACTCATTTATCCCTTTATCTTTTTCTTTTCCCCCCATGTTTTACTCCTTTTTTCCCCCTTCAACTGAACTTGAATTCAAGGGAAGGAGGGGCATGTTAAATAGTTATCATATGTCGGTTGACAGAATAATCAAGATTCCGACTGTTTCTGGCCACCTTTGTAGCAACACTGCCCGATCATAGCTGTATCTGGCCACCATTTGGGGTAATATATCACCAGAATCCAGCTATTATATTGGTGTAGGTAGTTCTTTAATGCATGAGGTATGGTGGATTAAATTGGCGTGGAGATGGAAAGTGATGGAGGAGTGATGGAGGCTCTAAGTGTAAAGATTAGAGTAGAGGAGTATCACTTAAGGAGCGTTTAGTTTGCCAACAGCAAAACGAAAAGCTTGGAAATGAGAAACTTGAGAAGTAGATTGTGGGAATAGGATGCTTGTGTTTGGAATGTACAAGGAACGAAGGATGTTGTGGTTAAATATTTTAGTGTAGTATGCATTAGAATGAGAAAACTGAGAATAAACAATTAGGATTGGGATTCCTCTTAATTGTTTCAAGTTGTGATTGCTGATTGATATTCCTCAAGTTAGATCTGCTTATTTTTCCTCTTTTCAATCATCCAAATTGAAAAATTTTCTTTCAAAGGGGTGCATGCATTTCAACGAAAAGTGGTTCCTGGTTTTCTTGTAAAAAAATGTACATTCAGTTCGGTGACTAGATCTCGATATGCTATAATATTCTGAAGATGGTGTCTGTCTTTTAGTTGATTATGGAGTTTGGAAATTTGTTATGGTGTTCTTATTGATGCTTGCAAGGATAGAAATGTGTACCCTTTGTTTAATACTTCAACCCCTCCATTTATTCTCCCCTAATCTTGTTTAAATTTCAGGTCTTGATGAAGTACGTAGGTGATGGCGGCCGCAACCTGTGTTCACTGAGGAATACCTAGCATTTAGCTCTCCTTTAGAACTTCTTTTTAATCCCCGTGCGTAAATTGAGAAACCCCAGGATATGTGGAAAATTTTCTTGTCACATTGAAGAACTCACTTTTTTATTTTTATTTAAATGTTCTAACATGTTCTTTTGGTCTAATATTCGTCTGGAAATTTGTTATTCATAAAGCGACCATATATACAGTTGGTGCTCTAGTGGGCGAGAATATTCATGTTTTAAGTTTAAGATCCATTGAATTTTCGAAATTAATCAGGTTGCTAATTACTTTGTTTTAAAAACTGAACTTTATAAAAATATGCTCACCACGGTAGAAATGCAAGAATACCGTTTTTTACTATCGATCTCTCAAAATTTCTATCTTGTAAGTTGTAACTATCTCAATAATCAACAAAACGATATATATATATATATATATATATAAATCCGTTAGAGCAGAGGAGAGAAGAGGATTTAGAGAACTTGCCTCCAAACGTTTAAACTAGTTTACTATTTTTTATTTTTTATTTTTAAAATCAAATGTTTAGATCTGATAACTCTGTAATTGAATGCTTGCTATGGGATCGAGAGAGCAATACCATTCCCAAATATGCAGAGCACTAGAATTAGATTCTCAGTTTTTGATACTCATCCACTCGAGTTTCAAAAGCCAAATCGCCTCATGTTTCAGTGTTTAAGGGTATGATCACGGTGGGTATACCATGAATCGTATTGGGTAGAACTTAATCCTGTGGAGGGGCTGATTGATCTGAAACTGATATATCCATTGCCCACTGGCATACCGAACTTGAGAAGCAACTCCATTCCAGTTTGCATATCAAATGTTTGATAAATTAACTGACGGGGTTTCCATTGCATGTACTATTACGCAGCATCAGATGGTGGGCTGCATCTACAGACCCCGAGGCGACAGTCGTTGACATTGATTGCAAACTACAAACTTTATATTTACGGCACAACATCCTGGAATTGGGTGCCATAAGGGGGTGGAGAATCTTTCCATCAAGATATTAATGTTGAATGGCCAACAACTTTGTAGGTGTTTGTGGGATTTTTGCTTCTCGTGAAACAAGGAAGAACTCAAGAGTCCACTGTTCGTTTTGTTGGACCTAATTGTGCCTCATCAGAAGCTTTCCTTGCTGGCGCCTCCAAGGGCATGGTAGCCAAGGGTGATGGAAGATCGGTGTAATATGTCATTTCGGCTGCTGCAATGGTGAGTAGTCACCCTATCCTTTTTATTACCTTGCTGTGCTATTCTCCCATATAAATAGATAACAAGTCATTAGGTTAATGATGTCCATATTTACAGTAGAGTGTTTCTAGCCAATGGACTAGATGTAACAATTTCAAGAACTCCTCAAAACTAAATATGGATTGTACAAGAAACCTACACAACTTTGAGGATGTACTATTGTTCTTGGAATTCAAGAATAGACCTCTGTAGTAAAATTATTCTTTTTTTTTTGTGGGAAAACTGAATTATGTAATTTGGTCAAGAGAGCAGCTAGAAATGGCAAAAATATTTTGAATCAAGTTTTATAGAGTTCTAGGCCTTTGAAGAGTTACTGGTGGCTGTCCTCTTCTTTCATGGATTAAGGATTCTAAAGAGAATTGGAAAAACCATCCAATGTTGGATATGCAATTGAGTTGGGAGAAACAATAACTCCTGTGGTCTGGTGAAAAACAAGATATTAGTTCATTTATATGTCAACTTAAGCCCCAAACTTAGCTTTATGATTTTGTTCTGCTTGCCATCTCAACTCTGATTTGTGGTTATTTGCTCTCGTGCTCTCGTGACGCTTCATTTTACAAGAATCCGTCCAATTTTATTTAGTGTATATATATCAAGGAAATTTAATCTGTTACAGTTCAAGAGATGCTACATGGCATGGATATAACAATCAAGCTAAAACATATTCTTCTACCATTGTCATATGACAAACTGCTGGTCATTCCGCTGCTCGAAGGATTTCTTCCTGATTAAAAGACAAATGATCCTGGATGGATTGGCGTGTGTATTATCAAGACTGCACAACACAAAGTCAGGCCTGTGTAGAAGAGGGTTTAAACGTTCCCCACCAACAACAAATGCAGTTGCGTCAAGAAGGACATGCCAGGAGTTCCGATGAGCCTCTGAAACCCAATGCAGTGAGTATCGAGTCCCATTTACGTCGGCTGGATAAGAAAACAACCCTTTTGGGCTGTGCTTGCACTTCCTTCTGAAGTACTGGCTGAGTTGTGATCCCTTAATCCTCAAATCCAACCAAGTCTCTGGTGCTTCTATCACTTTGGATTCCTTGAAAGTAGCAAACTCTTTAATACAATCGTGTTCTTCTCGTATAACCGTCATGTAGTAGTTTCCCTTGAAAAAGGGATAAGCTTCTCCTACTAGCATCATGGCCTGCCTGTAGCTTGGAGTGAAGAGAACAAGGTACTCTTCATCAGGCAATCCACAGTGCTTTAGAACTTTGTTTTGAGCTTGAATTTCTGGGATTGAGATGAAACTCCCAGGAAAGGAAGACTTCTTGTTGAGAATGTCTAACAATCTTGATGGTTCCAATGGGGTACCCTCCAAGTTTGGAAGATTGCTTCCGAAGGATGGTGTCGAAGGCTCTCTCGAAATATTTCTAGGAGACTTTCGCCAATCATCAGGCGTGGCTTGATCGGTCGGCTCCTCATTGATGCAAAGGCAAGAGAGATCTATCTTTTCTCCATCTAGCCCTGCATACTGTGGGTACTTTGCCAATACATATTGCTCTACATATTGCCTCTCTGCTGGTGTTATAGGACCTGACCATCTGAGATCAAGGCCAGTGAGGGTCGAAATTGCCTCCGCTATGATATGAGGAGGTATCATAGTAAGCACTTTCTGTTTAGAGCCCAAAATTCAGCCAAGTTAAAGCAAATATGATTTCAGCTTCTAAGGATGGTTGTAAAAGTTGAAATTTTCTATTTTGAACAAAGAGTAATTCACATGGGAACCTTCTAAAGAGTTCTTCAAGAAGATGTACCTTGACTCCCATACTACTTGGCCTGAAAACATCTGTAGATGGCCTGGGTTCAGAAACATTGATAGATTCTTGACTTTCTCCTTCCATGAATGCCTAGTTCATTGTAAAAAAAGACCATCAAACTTTGGAAACGAGTCAAATGAGAGAAAGAAAAAGAGAGGCTGAAACGAGAAATCCATACCTGAGATCCAAAAGGAAAACTAAATTTTTCTTCAATGTTCTTCCTCACTATGTTTATTCCCTCTGAAACCCACCCCAATCTTCAAATTTCTTCTTTACCAGGTCTATGATCATGTCTTTAGAAGATATATAGAGATAGCAGAAACAGAGAAAGGAAGCCTTCCCTTCAGGCTACAAGAGGAACACTCTCATAAAGGCAACTGCTTGACCAAAAAAAAGCCAGCTTTTGCTTGCAGCAGAAGAGTATAACATCTATGAAATGGTAGAATCCATGGCAGAGATGATAGAAAAAAGGGAGAAAAGGGGTAGCAATTAACAAGTCAAACTTAGAAAGACCTGCTGTATATGAATAATTGGCTTCTAAATAAACTAATAAAGCCCACTAGGAACAACAAAAACAATATTTGTAGGAGTTGAGAAGACTTGGCCAAACTCACTCAGACATTTCTTTTACTTTGAGATGTCGATATGAACGGGAGATACAAGGAAAATTCATGCCCAGTTAAATAGAAAATGGCCAGATAATTTTACTTTTGAAGAAGACAACAGCAAGAACTCTAAAACTCTCTCTAAAATGTTTTAAAGAAAAGTAAAAAATATACTTTAAAAAATGGTGAAAATATAAACCTAATTTTTAATAACATATAACTAAAAACAAAATCATCATCAAACGAGACTAAGGATATGAGTTTAACACATCCTAACTTATCATTTGTTAAGTTCGTAAATCAGTTGAAAATAATAAATCTAAATGGATTAAACATAAAAGATAAAACTATGGTTTTCATATTTCTACCATGAAAAACGTCCACAAACGCCAACAAATATTTAATTCTATGTTGCGTATCTGAAGTTTGAAAATGGGAAATTTCTTGGATCAGGATTCTTTCACATTCATTGATCAGTATCATATCAATGATGATTTAAAAACTTTGTATGACAAAAGGTTGAACTGCTACCGGACTCATTCTAATATTTGTGCAACTTTTAGGCAAATTATTTTTTATATTTCTTGGTGGACATCGCCAGCCCGAATATAGTTTAACTGATTTAAAGTTCGAATCTCCATCCCACATATTATTAAAAAAAAAAAAAGATTGACGTCAGTTGTGTTCTGTATGATTGTGGAGAGAGAATATGCCGTTATGAGATGCTGAAACAAACATATTACAAACAGACAATCGTCATATGATAATATTAAAATCCTCCTCAAAGCCTTTACTCCACCAAATTGACATTAAATATTAACCATTATTTGATTGAAGACTTGGTCGTGTACAACATCTGCGTTTCAATTGCAAGAAACTGATTCTCTGTTTTCATACAATGACTTTTTTTTATAATATACAAAAAAAAAAAAAAGAAGAAGAAGAAGAAGAAGAAGAAGCTCAGAGTTGATGTTTTTTCCCTATTTTGAGTCACCTTTCAAACAGCTCTTTACTGTTAATTATTTTGCTTCAGTACTTTCCACGAAGCTTCTCTTGAAAATGACCACTAAACTGGAATTTCTCCCCTCTGCAGTCTGCATCTAACCTGAACTTTTGTATTCATGCATATGTAAATATGTTCATCAGTTGATAAATTCAGAGTGTAAATTGTGAGCAAATTATCTTTTTCACAGAGTTACAAGTTGAAACTTTCAGGTTGGTTTGGCCTTTCCTTTGCCCTCTTCCTCGGCTTCCTGTCCCCGCGATCGCTGATCGTTTTTTCTTTCCTACAGGGTCTGGCGAAGAGTATAGCAATAGTGACTCATAAGCCATTCATTGGCCATTTAACACAGAATGTGCATCAGAACTCAGTAAATGAAGATCAATTTGAAGCCTTCCGAGGGTCTGAATTCACCTTGAGTGACGCACGGCAAAGTATTTCAACCTTTGAGACAAGAAGACACAGAAGAAAATAACAAGGCTCGAGAAGGTCAAAATGGAAGGGAATGACCCAGCAACCACTGGAAAGCAACCTTCAACTCTACTCATGGCCACCAAACGGGGCCAAAAAGATGACAGATGTCTCGATGAAACCCCAAGTCACCATCTGAAAACAATGATTGAAACACCAAACTACTAGAAATTTATATATCATTTCAAGGCTTCACAGTAGCCACTTTTGATCCCCCAAATGCAAGGTGGTAACCACAGCACAAGTAGCACAGCCGACTGGTAAATACAAAAAGGCAATGCTTTGGGAATAAGCAAAAGCATTTCTTTTTCCACACTCAAGTGGGTGATTAGGCATAACAACTAGCACCCAGCAACACCCGTCCACTGTCCCTCTTAATAAAAATAAGATGGTGGCTGTGATGCGGCTGAAAGCCAACAACAGTAAGAGAAAATGCCTCCAGATTTAGCGGATTGCCACCCACTTGTGTCATCGGAATCCTTGTTTTCTCCCCCCTCTGTCCCATCCTTACAGCAGCCATACCCATCATTAAGCTTGAAAAACAGTAGAGGAAGCAAAAGCATGAATTTTACAAGAAAAAAGATCATACCTGTTCTCGTGTTGGTTCTGTCTAGTCTCTCCATTCTCAGACTTGTTAGGATTGCACTTACCACCTCTTCTACTTCTTCACTTCTAGCAATTGCATTGCCTCCAAAGCTTCAACGCCCAATATTTGGGTTCTCAATAAACCAAAGTAGAGCCTCTGCTAATGAAGTCGCCATTTCAGAGAAGGAATTCAAGCTTCTTTCAAATCTGATTGCCAAAAAGGCACCCTGCAATCTCCTTGTCTTTGGGCTGGAATCACAGTACCTTAACCTCTCGGCAATCAATGATGGTGGTAAGAATGTTTTTCTAGAGGACGATCCCTACAAGCTGAGCACATTCAAAATCAGCTCAAATCACACACGAATCTACAAAGTTGATTACAAGCATCCCGCAGAAAAAGCTTACAAGTTGTTAAAGCATGCAAGACAAAATAAAGCATGTGCCCCGAACTCGGGGCTCAAGAATTTATCCAAGTGCCAACTAGCCTTGACAGATCTTCCCAGAGAAGTTTATGAAGTCAAATGGGATGTGGTGGTTGTAGATGGACCAATAGGAGATGCCCCTCAGGCACCAGGAAGAATGGCAACAATTTACAGTGCTGCTATCATAGCAAGAGAGGGGAACACCACTGATGTAGTTATACACGATATAGATCGTATGATCGAGAAGTGGTATTCTTGGGAGTTCCTTTGTGATGAAAACTTGATTTCCTCCAGAGGGAAACTCTGGATTTTCAGGATTAGAAATGAGATAAATTCTACTAGATTCTGCCCTGACAAAGGCATTATGATCCAGTAATGAGATTATTTTTCTTCTGAGACGAAGGTACAGAGAAACATGCGTACGATCAGTCCCTGTGCACCTTTCTTGACTGCAATTGGAACAAGATGGAGTCGGAGGGATGGAACCGCTGCTTGGCCTCTGTAAAGCAACACGTACATTTTGTAGAATCAAATTCCAGCAACTGCCATAAGAAAACAAATTTCTTTCATTTGTTTAGTATAATGATCATGAAACAGTAATTATACAGCGTAGATCAAGCCCTGACCAACCAGGAATTGGTTCATTGGTTTGGGGGGAAAATGTTCTAGAGTAGTAATTATATAGTACACGAGGAAACTATAGTATTCTGGCTTGCATACATAAGATCAATATTTACATCCGCCTTGCCCAACCAGGACTGCAGAAGAAAACAAAAAGGCTGTCGAGGTACATATTTACGAAATATACTTGTTTCAGATTACAAAATCGATAGCAGCAGATATTTGGAATAAGTGCAAAAAGGGTTGAAAACATGAAGCAATGCCTTTAACAGTGTGATCAAACACTAATTTGCAATTAAATGGAATAGTGAATGCTCAGAGTGATCCAACATAATTTCATCATTTGTACAATGTTGATGAAGCTATATTGGTTAAAAGAATCATGTTCTCAAATACCACTGATATCATGAGAAAATTGAAGTCATGTTTACTACAAAAGATTTGTGCGAATTGCCAATAAACTAATGAATAGGCGGAATCCCAGCCACACTCTGAAGTTTCCTATCAAACTCCTACCGAAGTCAGTCTCCAAACTGAACTTGATAAGGAATGTGCCTACACAGTGATTCTCAATCATTGTTTTATACGCTCCCGTGATCGGTAGTATCATCATCATTTTCCTGATTTCTTCGCTGCAAGAACAGACATTGGTCACATAAAATGTAAATAAGTCCAGAAAGCAACCCAACTCACTCTAAGTCCCTGCATCGTACACCATATCATAGAATAATTGAAGCCTATTAGCTCCAAATGTCGTCAATAATCATTAGAATCCCCAAACACACACACGAACAAACTTGCGCCAATTAAAAAGTCTTGTGCAGAAAAACAAAAGACGTTCAAGATGCAATAAGAGAGTAGTTGACAACTTGTGCTCCCCACTTTTTGATCACTCAACCCTCCTTTTTCTTTTTCTTGTGATGAAATGTATTGATCCATAATTATATTAAAAAAAAAAAAAAATCATTTTTTGGATACCCTGTACAACTAACCTTTCCTCTAAATCTCCCGTTTCAAGAAAAGAACAGAGAGATACTGAGACAAGAAATCCAAGGATACCTTGTATTAATTATTTTTTCTTAATTTCAAAATTTATAGCTACTTGATGGTTTATCCAAAAAATAGAGTGCCCACAATATAACCTCAAAATAATGTAAAGTATTAGAACTTCCGTTTGCTTATGAAAACTAGGTCCAGTTGGGAAATACATGGTAAAATAAAATTTTAAAAAGAAGACATGTAGTTGAATTTTGAACAGTATGACAAGAATGTGTCAAAATGATATGTATAAATTATAACATCAGCACTGCATTAAATATGCTGAAAATGGAGCTCACCATCCGTTTGCTTATGTATGGCTGTATGTTGACTTTTGATTCGGGTGAATTTTCAACCATCAGAAATTTTGATTTCTCCTTCTGAAATTCCTTTCTAGATTCTTTACGGCTACCAGATTGCCATACTCTACCAAAATTAGGAAGCCAATTCTCGTCACCATTGCTTCGGACAATTTCTCCTCTCTTCTCCATTTCCAGTTCCATCTTTCTTTTTTCTGCCCATGCAGCTCCTACCCGTTTGGGGTTCAATTTCTTGGACTTTGCAGAAACACCACTACCAACCACTGTTTTTAACTTAAACCCACTATCTTCAGAGTTTTCAAGCCAAGGAGGCATCATCCCAGAATGAACATTTCCTCCAGAGACTTCAGAAACAGTATTAGAAATCCGAGTGAGGGTCGGAAAACCTGAAGAAAGATAGAAGATAGATGCAAACCACACCATCACTATATAGTTTAGATGAAGATACATCCAGTGTATGATATATGCATAATTTTAAAGCACAGTTCCAATCGTTTTTGTTTTTTTTTTCTTGCAAAAATTCATAGAGAATCAGTTGAGTAATATTACAATTTTAGAATAAGATTCACAAAAATTCATACCCTCAGAATGGCTTTCTTCATTCACAGTTTTATCATTCTGACGCATCTCGTACATCTATATCAAATAGGTTATACATTTACGAAAATTGTCAATAGAAAATGATATGTGTTTAGTATGAAAAAGAAACATACTCAAAGAGAAAGACAAGATATAATATATCAGCTGCACTATGAAGAGGTTATCCAAGAACGACTAGTTGATTGCCAGAGATCCATTAATAGAACAATAACAGTATGTCATGCCATCCCATCCAGCAATCAATGAAAACGTTTGGGCTTCAATAAGTCTATCGACAAACTAGTAAATCTGACTGTAAGTTAATTATTTCTCCTTTTGAGATAAGAAACCATTTTGCTAATGTATGAAACTTATATAATGATGGACCCAGAAGAGAAATTACAAGAAGAACTTCAGCTGAAGTGAAGTCCCACCAGCCACCACCACCTCCTTAACAAGACAGAATTGAAGGTTTCTAGCACTATAACCATGTTACTTCACAGGAAATATAAAGATCCACTGCTACAGTAGAAGGGAGAACAACCAAACTTACCCCCTGACCACTGAAATGCCCATTAGCAGTGAATGTTCTACCACTATTCTGATGGCAATGCTCGTTGTCCTTGTTAACTGAACCACAATCAATATAGCAGGAGTGTGTTACAAGTTTGTACGCTATTTCAGAACTTCAACGACAGATAAGAAAACAAAACAAAAGGTTTAATACATAGGGGCAGCTTACATGTTACATTCTTTGAACTCCACACGTGTGCGCCAGAATATGAACTGGCATGCAAAGAAACAGTGGTATCACGTGGAAACGAGACAAAATTTGAAACATCAGATGATCCTGAATAGGATGAATTGGATACCTGATACTCATTTGTATGACTGTGTAAAGGCAAAGCACTAATTGGCATACAAGATTCAACAGAGTGGATATTATTATTCCCTAAATTATCACAATTTCCATATTGGACTCGATTGTGGATATCATTTGTAGGTCCAAAGCTAGATGAAGCAGCTTCACTTTGTGTTTTGCACTTCTTCTCCCACTGTCATCAACAAACATTGATTCAAGTTAATAGCCTAATCAGAGTAAAAATGAACTTCTGCATCTCATTGTGTTTCAAACACACGACAAAGAAAATTGCAAATAGGACACTTTGTCCGTTTCTCTTTGTTGATTCTATTGAATATAAGAGAATTAAATGTGGATTGTGTGATACATCTGAGTAATATAGTTCCAATTGATTTGAAACTTACAAAAAGTAAAGGCTCATGATTACCTTAGCTACATCAGCTTCCAAAATCCTATAATTATCCAGATGGTCCATATCACCACCATACTTCCATAAGAAATGCTTCAAATTCTTCAGATGATCCGCGCTGGCCAGGTGTTTAATTGCATTGCTACTGATACACAATCTTAAAACATGAAAATTGCACAGCGTATGTTTCTTTAAATTAGAAACAGAAATATATTCATTAACAATAACTGCAACAGCATTAAAGGAGGAAAAGAATACAATGCACCAACCAAACCTAGCAGTCAGCCAACGGAACTTCAAAAACCCTTCCCAATTAATGTTAATTCTAAACGAAGAGTGATTGCAAAAATGTCAATCTAAAAAAACTTCATCTACATATATATATTTTATAGGAAACTTTGGAAATGTATTAAACACACAAAAAGAGCAAACTACAAGCAGGGGTAGAGAAAACCCCCTACCTAATAACTAAAGCAAAAAAAGCCTTCCAATTTTGAAGGATCGTAGAAAGGCAGCAGTTACAAAATAATTTGCTATAAGTGTAGCATCACCTACATTACTCCAAAGGTTAGAAATTTTGAAGGAAATGTCCTCAAAAGTTCTACAGTTCCTTTCCAGCCATAGATGTCACAACACTACAGTGCAGCCATTGCAAAGTTCCACAAGGTCCTTTTTCCGTTTTTGAAAAGACCACCGACAAGGACAGAGATTTGTGTTAAAAATTCCGAAGACACATGACCAGCATGGATTAGCAAGAGAGCAATGAAGGAAGAGGTGGTCTGAAAATTCCTCTTCTCTTAAGCAGAAGAGGGGGAGATGGTCCAATTCTTGAATTTCTTCTGGATCTCTCTAGAAAGCAAGTAAAATACACAAAATCTTGACGCTCTCTAACCATACCTTAAAAAATTCTACAGTTACACTAAAGCCAAATGACCTTACTAACACAAATCCAAAGGAAAGGAAAAAAACTTTGGCTACTTAAAGTTATGGAGAAACTTTCTCCTCAATACCACTAAATATTTGACAACTCATAATTTTTCTTAATTCATTTTTATTTTTGCATTTCTCTCTTGTCAAATATTCAATGGTGAGTTCCTCCTTAAAACCAAGTTTTTTCCAATCCAAAGGGTCTATGTGAAATTGTACTGCATATACTTTGCTCATTGATAACTAAAATCCTTTTGTCACCCTCATCAGATGCTTATTATGGAATGCTAGGATGGAGAGGAACCACAATTTTTGGTGGATTGGGAAGAAACTACCCTCCGATCACATCTTTTCAACACTTGCTCTGGAGGGATTCTTCTCAACCCCATTAGCTTAGGTCAAGGCTTTCCTTCCATTTGCGTAGTTCATTATATTAATGAAATTCAGTTTCCTTTAAAAAAAAACAAAAACAAAAACCCTCACAAAAGCTCAACCGTAACTAGTATATAACTCGGCAGAGTTGATTCTCAAATTCCCCAGCAACCATAAATATCCATCATAATTAAGTAAAAAAAAAAAAAAAAGCCAGCGGATTATTACCATGCGAAGGAACTATCATTCTCATCGACTTCAATTTCGCAGAAAATGCACCAAAACCGATTGCGAGAGGCGTACTCCGGCGGGAGGCGGGAAGGGGTATTGAGAAAAAAGCGAACGTCGGACAGCTTGGACTCGAGCCGAGATAGAAAAGTAGAAAGAGATTTCTTGTGGTTGGGAAAATACTTATGGCGCTGGCCTTGGTCGTGGCTTAGTTTGCAGACGATGCAGTACTCGTATGCGCTCTTCTTCTCCTTGTTCTTCATATTCTCGCACACTGGTGAACTTCAAAACGAGGGTTTTCAATTGGCCTCTTCGTAACATCGCAGTGATTCCATAGCTGCACGGAAATTCGCGGGAAACTAGATTGGAAGACGACGACGATCGCGATTTATGCAAAAAAATATTCAGTTCTCATTTTTTTTTAAATGTGGAGAGTGGGATTTGAACCCACGCCCTTTCGGACCAGAACCTTAATCTGGCGCCTTAGACCAACTCGGCCATCTCCACTGTTTAATCAAAACTTATAGTTTTATTTATTAATGATTCAATTAATGAACTGCACGCCGGAATTTCCCGCTTCTTTTTGGCAGCGAATCTCAAGACTCTCAGTAGAAATTTCGGTGGCGTTGAGTTGCCGGAGATCCATTTCGGCAGCTGCTTTTCCGGACCATGAACTCCCGCGAGCTTTCTCTCGTCTCCACAGCCACCGTATTTGGTGTTCTGGCTTCGGCTGTTGCTTTTCGCTTCTTCTTCAATCCTAAAAAGCACCGTCCTCGATTTGATTTGCCGGGAAATGATGCTCTTTCGAACAAAGCGCCCTCTCAGTGCCCTTTCGATCCTTCCAAACGCCAAGGGTAGGAAAAATTTATGATGTGTGTGCTTTCATGTTTCTCTTAGATCTCTGCTTTGCCCCGACCAGCGTACCCCCAACATTGTTAGGGCTTATATTCTTCAGGAACCTATATGTTTCTAGTCATATAACTTAATTTTTTAATTTTCATACGCCTTTAATTTTGATGAAATTACCCAGTTTGGAATTCTGTGGATTACTTGCAGTTATTTGTCATGGGATGACTATTTCATGGCCATTGCATTCCTGTCTGCAGAAAGATCGAAGGATCCCAATCGGCAGGTCGTTATCGTGTTTCTCTGGAATGTGCATATTTGCTTTTATTATTGATTTCTAATCATGAAGTGATGATGCCATCAATTATTTACATATCTGAATTTCTCTGTTTAAGTTCATATGCTATTAGTTGTTCTATATGGTTGGATGTTCTGAGGGTTTGTTGTATCAATCAAAACTTTCGTTCACTGTTAAATTATTCATACAGTTTTCTGTTTGGATTTGTGTTCTATGGTGTAGGTTGGTGCGTGCCTGGTTAGTCAAAATGGTGTAATTCTTGGTAAGTTTGCTTCAAGGTCCATACACATGGCGTTGTTGATTACTTGGCTGTGTTGAGTGAATCGATATTTCTAACAAGAACTGGTAGCAAGTAATAGCTGATGCTCATAATTGTGAACTTCAGTAATTACTTAGCTGTTGTTCTGCATGAAGTTATATCAAAATTTCATTTTCTACTTGTCTCATGAAGGCAATGCACATCAATTAAATGTGCAATGCCGGACTATCTCGAAATTGGCCTCTTCATTCCTATATTCGTGTTACAGTAAGGTGATCTAAAGAAGAAATGCATAAATTTGCAATGGTCTTTTATGAACACAATTTTTAAGTAGCCTGTGATATGGAATGATGCAGTTATCATGATGGAACATTTGAAGTCTTATTTTATTCATCTGTGATAGGGATAGGATATAATGGATTTCCAAGAGGATGCCCCGATGACCAGCTTCCTTGGGCAAAGGTTGGTCTCTCATGACAAACTAAGTTCTCAACTTATTGACAAACATCTTAGTATTTTTTCTTATGTTCAGAAATCAAAAACCAGCAATCCTTTGGAGACAAAGTATCCGTAAGTTAATGAATATGTAAGCTTTTTGATCCAATAAATTTCTGTTTACTAGAAGTGCAATTTGCTATATGTGCTGATCCCTCAGCATTATGAATCCTTGTGCTGAAATAATTATACTTATTTTATGATTTATTTTCCAACCCCTCAATCTTGTTCTTCCTGGCTTTAAATTCTGTTTATAGCTATGTTTGTCATGCTGAAGTCAATGCCATCCTAAACACAAATCATGCTTCGGCCAGTGGGCAGGTTAGTTCTTTTCACCTGCTCTGCATCTCTTTGAAAATTATTGTCTGCTTAAGAATAATGTAAAGTTTCACAGAGCCACACAGACATTCTATTGAAATCTGAATTCTTTACACTTCATAACTGCTTAAGAAATTTATTTGTTTATTGTTTTTCTTTCATTGTACATCAAATTTAGGCTTCTGCATGCTTTGAATGCAGCTGATCAATACTCGGTCTCTCTGTAATCTTTGCAGAAGCTTTATGTGACCATGTTCCCTTGTAATGAATGTGCAAAAATAATCATTCAGGTATAGCAATCAGTTCTTTTCTTTATCTTTATAACCAATTAGACTGAAGAGTTTGAAGATGAAGGCTCGTAGATCTTCACTTAAAAATGTAATGACACAATCCCATATAGATTTTGCCTCAACCATCCGTGGACTTTGTTGCAGTCTGGCGTCTCTGAAGTTATTTATTTTCTTGAGAAGAGGATAAACAATTCAGACGTTGCATATGTTGCTTCTCACAAGTTGCTATCGATGGCTGGTGTAAAGGCAAGTCTTGCTCTGCTACCCTTTGTTGTTCTTTAACTTCAAATTTTATAATATTGCACCATGACTTTTAAACTATAATTTCACTGGACCTCTTAGAACAACTGTTTTATTGACCACACTTCTTTTTTGACGTTCCTTGAACCTCAATATCTCATAAATCGAAATGGCTACATCGGCCCAAGAGTGCGATAAGATATGTAAAAACCACCCAAACTGGGAAACAAATATTATGTATTTACTTGTAGAATCAATTATGTACACTAGAAAAGCGAATTTTTGCATCAGAATGGATAATGAGTGAGATAAGTTGCAAGTTGTCTGCCTTACGAGTGACTGATGTTACCCTCAAAATTGCAATTGCAGGTCAGAAAACATCAACCCCTGTCTGATCAGATCTTGATCAAGTTCGAGGATCCACGTACATGAAAAGTATTCCTTTTCTGTGCGTCTAAATTCAATTCCATTGGAAGCTTGCAACTTTTATCGATGTGATTCCATATTTTGACCTATACGGATTTTTTTTAGTTAAAGGATGAGCATTTCAGAATATGTGGAACAGCCAAGAATAGAGTAACTCAGATTTTTTTTTTTTTTTCTTTTTGACGGTACCCTGCAGAAGAAGAGAATCAAACCTAGAATATATATGAAATGAAAAAATATCAAATCCAATTTGATTGTGATTTCGTGAGAAAGTTCTAAACCAAAAATACGAGCAGTAGAAAATTATTGGGTGAGGTTGTCTGCAGAAAAGATTTGAAGAATAAAATTAGTCATAAAAAGAAAACTAATGAGGAATCGGGTCAAAAAGTAATAATAGCTTGTTTTGACGAACTGATGATGCTTTCAGTGACAAATTACTGAGGTAACAAATTGACCAGCATAATTTAAGAGAGAAAATGAAGTCCAGATGTTTTGGCGTAAAAACGTTAGCAGTCGGTAACCCTTTCCTGTAGATTTCTCCCCTTTTTTTCATTTTCATTTGTTTTTTCGAGGGGAGTAGTGAATTGAACACCCTAGTCCCAGTGCAGTGTTACGCTATAACTCAGAGGGGAGGAAAATGGAGAGCGAGAGCTGACCATCATTTGGAGATCAAGAATTGAGGGCCTCGAGTTGTCTCTTCAAATCTTCAAGGTCATCTATGGAAGGGGCTGCAGATTCTGCGGGAGGTGGATGATGAGACTCGTCTGCATTTGGAAGCTCGCGAACAAGACCTTCTGGAAGGGCATCTGCGAGGAAAAAAAATCAAGTGAATATCAAATAGAAAGATAGACTTCTGATCTGCTGAACAAATGGAAATGTAGAATGTTTACAACAAAAGTACCAAAAGCAATATATGACTAATTTCCAGTAGTTAACTCCAAGATCAATATCAAATCGCGTAACCAGGTGAAACAAAGCTGATCGCTGATATAACTAAATTTGGTTACCCCAGTTTGATTGCCGGCATAAAATATCACGAATTTTGACCAGAATAAATATCAGCAATCATTATGGTGGACATTCATAAAAAAGAACTCGTTGGACTATATACATGATATGCGAGGAAGGAAAATAAGATGGAGAGATAATCTGAAATTAAAATAAATAGATAAAAGATCACCTGAACTGGTTGCACCCACGTTTTCAGTCTCGAGTTCATCGACAACACTGAGAAATCAACAGTAAGAAACTAACTTAAGACACTAGATCATTTATTAAGGTATATCTAATCATTTTATAATATACTTCTCGACTGTATTTAATCTAAAAATGAAAAGAAAAAGTAATCAAGTGAGGAATCAAACTACGTAAGAATAGCGTTAGGAGTTATAACTAGCACCTTATGTTCCATTCATTATCAGCATGCAGTGGGATTTCTACAACTGTCAATTTTTCTGCTTCCATCTTTGCTTTAGCTGCAGCATCTCGTGCAGGTTTTGCAATAATGTATTCCTTCTGCAAAATATAAAATGTTAATAAACAATGGGAATTTAGGAACTATGAAATTAACTGACTTATCTTCAAGTGTTAGAGTTACCTGTCTTTCCAGACAAGCCACATTTGAGCACTGAGGATTGGGCCTCATTTCCATGGTTGGGAAGTAGTCTTTTAGAGAATTATATCCCTGCAACGAAGATAACCGGTATAGAAACAAGCAAAAAGAGAGGAAACCCGAGCATAAGTCTATATTTACTTTTTCTAGGATGTTAGCTCATTTAGAAAATATTTAACTAGTTATAGATTTCATAAAGAACTTTTGATATAAGGCATTGCATCATCATAAATGTGCAGATAGTTCCTTCGACCTCTCAGACTTCTTTCACACTGCTTTTCAAATGCAAATATTATAAAATAAAACAAATTTAAGAAGGAAAAAAAAAAGAGAGAAAAAGAAAGTCCAATCATAGCTGAAGTAATAATTTTTTATTGGAATTACCCTACATCATAAGAAGTGGATTTTTTGTTTTGAAGGGTTCCTCGAATGTTTTGTAGGTTTTTCCAAGCATCTTTTTGGGGTAGGGAATTGATGACAGACGGGGAATAACCATACAATTTTCTTTACATTTACTGTTTGAACCTTTCTATTTTTTGATGAATTAGTGGGCAAATTAGTTTTAGTTGCTGACTTGTTAAGTCGCTCTCTAGTTGATTGTATGGGTGATTGGTTGGTAAGTAATTGGTTAAATGGCAATGGCTATTAACAGGGGGTCTGTCTTCATAATCGCAAAATTTTGAATGAACAAAGATTAGTGGAGGAAGTTATACTCACCAAGTATGGAGAAACATGTCCGAACTTTAGCAGGAACTTGAGAGTGTTTTGCACTAATAGGCCTGCAACAACTCCCTGAAGATCATTTCGAATTAGTTTGAAGGATTAGAAAAAAGTAACAGAAAACAAAATCGTAGAATCATTAGCTAGTGTTTGCCAGTTTCGAATTATGCTTGGAAAATACAACGTTTATGATTCATGGTTTTCTCATGGATCTAGTGTAGCTTCCACACCTAGTTCTATATACAATGTTTCCAACGGCACTTGTACCAAAGAATATAAGATATTAAAAAAACAAATTATCTAAGCAAATTATAGCAATTCTTTTTTGTTGCATCTATATAAATGTGGATGCCTAATGATGCAAGAAAACACAACATATAGGCCTTATTTAGGATCTAGCTAACCTCGGCCTCGAACTTCAAAATAATAATTTTTGCACATTTACTCTTTGCTACTTATTACATGCTAAACATGTAGACAAGTACATTAATGGTTTTATACAGTAACTTATTTAGAGAAACCTAAGAATTATAAATTAAGAGAGAAGAAAATTTCTTACCATTGTTGTAGGTAAAGATGCAGCACAAACCCCTTCACGTTTGAGTGTCCGTTCATCTATGCCAGATGCTACAACCTGACAAAATAAGATAAATAAAACTCTTCCACCACTGAGAAATGACATAAAAAGAGATGATCAGGAAAAGATACAAGGGGAAAACAATGAAGTTATAGCAGTTAAGAAACAACAGAAACAAGGCTTTTTTGTAGTAATTATATGTATGCACCACACATCTATACAAAACTTTAGAAGTCTCAAAAACATCCATGCTCTTGTCTAGAGAGGAGAAATACCAAAGGAGGTGCACATGCAAAACAGGCAGTTTCACCAGGAATAAGCAACTGAATATGACCAGAAACAGCATCCTCCGAGACACCTGAAAATATCTCCAATTTTGTACTTTCTTAGTGATATACGTGCAAAACAAAAAGTAATTATTTCATTTTATATATCTTTCTTTTGGTATGAAATAAAAAGATGAGTTTAATTTTGTTAATCTAAGAATAGTTGCCAGTATGCCATATTTAGGTTTGAGCTACGAAGCAGCATAACATTTGCTTCCAAAATATCTACTAGGCTTGTCAAAACGGTATCTCTTGTAAGTTCACATATCACTTTTATGATCAGATTTTTTTTTTCTAATTTATACACCACAAACATTTAATCAATATTCCATCAATGTTTGCATAAATTCATTAGTTCTACTTCTACATTTCTGTCGACATCAATATTTAATTCCTTGTTCTCGTACCAAAAATCAACACTAAAGGTTTAGGTGTTCTAACTCATATATTGGTGCTATGTGGTCAGTTAGTGAATATATAACAACACCACTTGCATGAGCCATCTGTTCATAATTTGGCAGCCTATAAGCAAATTTGATTGAAATCTATCTAAATAAATGCACAAAGGGAGGACCATGGATAATTATAAATTTATTACTAGGGAATGATCAAAATAAGGATATTTCTTGCTTACCGGATTCCATCCATGTCTGATTTAGCTCATTACAAGCCTGTATACAAAATTTAAAATAAAAATGTGAAGGTACAAAATTGCAAATTGTCTTATTTATCTATATGACTATATATAAAAAAATTGTAGACACTGAAGAAACTCACCTGATTAACAGCCATCCTTGCTTCATAGTTATCTACACAACTTAAGACAAGATCCACTCCACTGCCTTCTTTAGTTGGGGAGAATGATTTGTTTTTCAAACTTGACATAAAAGTTTCAAAACCTTGCACAGTAGTGATGTTCAGCGTATAGCTCTACAAACAAGATGAACTGATCAGAATGAGGAACAACAAACAAATTCCACCAGCTATTCTGCATCCTAATAAAAGCCAATTCCAGAATTACATCCTTTCTTGGAATTATTCTTCGTGAGAATGAATATTGTACACAATTGTACATAACGTTAGGAAGAAAACATAAAAGTTCCATTCATTTCGGGTCAAGTACATAGAAAATTGGTTCGTACATACAAATTATCATGCTGCATCTGGCGGTTACTAACTCATCAATGAAGGTGCAGAAAATAAATTCATATGAGTAAGCTATGTAATTTAACCATAGAGCAGTAATATAAAAGGCTAACCTCAAGTACAACATCGGGGTTTATATCTTCAAGGGTCTGTACCGCTGCATCAGTTTTTGTCATACCAACCTGAAAATATTTCAGAAAAGGTAAACTAGTAAACAAACTAGCTACTCTACATTTAACTGCCTTTTAACTTTTAAGTGGGTAAAAACCTTTCAAACTAAAAAATTCCAGAACATTGATAACTATAACAAGATGAAATGTAAATTCACGCACAAGTATACAATTGAATGCAGGAAGAGATCAACACTAAAACAACTAAAGAGCAATCACACCCACACAAGATCCCCAGGAAAGAAAGGAGGATGAAGAACTAAAACAATTACCTGCTCTGGACGAAAGAAGAGTCTATTCATATTAGCTAACTCCACTTTATCATAATCATATAACAACAAGCGACCTATCCCACACCTTGTCAACATCTCAGCTGCAACGCTTCCAACACCTCCAATGCCCTTTGGATGAAGAATGAAGTAACATAATAATTCATCACGAAATATTAAACAACAAAATATATGAAAGATGACTAACATACAGAGCAGCTAGTTGTTCCATTATGGCTTGCTAAATTAGAAATTCTGTTTAAAATCTTTGATCATTGATGTAATCTCTCGTAAAAAATTTGAGAAACAAGAAAACGTTGGAGTGAGTTCAGGATTAGCATGCAGCAAAAATTAGGGCGAACTTGGTTAACCAAGATAATTCCATACAGACTATTAACCCAATCGACTCTATCTTCAACACATATAAGGATTGAGTAGAAAATACATAACAGTGCTGCACGTACCAATTTATCAAGGTAAAGTATGAATGCTGGGCATCTCAAAGGCAAAGAAGAGAATGATCAAACACAAACCTGAACACATATTCACATGGTAGCTACTCTAAATATTTTTCCATCTCTCCACAGTAAAATGTATACACACACACACATACATATATATATATATATATTTCACAAGATACAAGGGAAGATACATAACGATGTATGTCAACTTGTAAGATTGAAATTCTAGAGCAGACTGTGGAGTAAAACAGAAAAAGAAAGAGGAGATAAGTACAGACAACAATGGCAACTGAAAACCCCCGTATTCTTTCATAGTTTTCTACGATGCCCATCCTCTGAAGAGCCATAAGCCTACTGTAAGGATTGCTATCTACCACCTCAGCACTCATGTCCTGCCAGCATAACATTAAATGCATGAGTTATCAATATAACAACTATAAGCTGAAGTTTAAAGACAATGGAGGAATCTAAAAGATGACAATGCAAAAAGCAAATACCTTAACTTTTGATCGCCGAACAGGTCCTGCCTTTGAAAGATTTGTGAGACGCTCTAAATGCAATTGAAGCTGGATTGAACATAGCCGGAGAGCAATTGCATTCAGGGTTAAAATTTTCTAAAGTGAATAATCAAATGCTCAACGCAACTACACAAGTATCTTCTCACTAACGTAATATCTATTACACTATGAAATAGTAATGCACTCAATTCTCCAGTGAAAGACACTTGAATATTCATGCAGAATAAAATGTTTCCTCTTAGTTAAACTTATCAAGGCCTGAAAGAAACAAACCATACATGCAGAATCCATGGGTAAATTAAAAGAAGAGACAATTCTTCATTACAATGAGAAAGTAGTCCAATATGCACTTTGCAAGAACACGTCAAGTAAAACAGGATCAAATCAACCATGTACAGAAAGAATTGAGCAATAAAATGATCAAAAGAAATTATGCAAGCAGAAATACCTTATCAACCGGGCCCCGTAGAGCCGGATCGGTAAGCGACTGCTTCAGAGATTCAAGATCGTTCCACATCTCTTTCAATTCCACCTCCATGTCTGCTCCCTCTCTCGTTCTCGGACAGAGGACCTACTGATTCAACAGGAATAAAAAGTCCGAGAAATTCAACGAATCTCTAAGATTAAGATGGAATCCTCTTAAATTCGATTCGCCGTTTTATTTTATTTAGCACAATCTGACAATGCGAAGTAATGCGTTCGAAGCCGCCGGCGTCCTGCCCAGATCGGCTCTCTGTTCACAGCTGTTCACGCAGTGATCGAATGTCGGATATTCTTTGGGCTGCGATTAGGCCCAATAAGGATATTATGGGCCATTTATAGAACGAGAACCAACCCGTATTAGTCTAGTGGGCTTTTCGTGAGGGTTTTATCACGGAAGTACCACAAAAATAACCCTCGTGTACACACAAAAATAACCCTCGTGTACACATTTATTACAGGAAGAAACACGTGTCTTACACGTAGAATCTTGTAGTTCTAAATTAAAGTAAAACAAATAGTGTTTTTTAAGTTTATAATATTATTATTTTAAAGAAAGAAAGTGGTTATATATAAATATAAATTCAAGGTATGATATTGTTGTAATAAAAGAAGATGATGAAATATTAGCCTGGAAAGTAAGTACAAATTTGAAGTGTAAGAAAGATGAAAAAGCATCAATGTACAAAGTTTTTTTTTATTGAATGAACGTTCTTAATTTACCTCTAATTTTCTTGATTATAAATTATTATATTACACTTTATCTTTGTTAAATTGTGTGACATTAAATCATTGAGTTTGTTCATTCTAGAATGAAAAAGAAAGGTAAGAGTGAGAGAAAGAGTAAATCCTAAAAGGTCAAACCTGATGATATTGAGAGGGATAAAAATTGTTTGTTTGCCCTAACTTTGTAAAAATAATTACAACATTTCACATATATAAATCAAAAGCATCAGTTTAAAAAATAAATAAATAAAAATCAAACTCATAAGCATTCTTATTATCCAAATTATGAGAATGATCGAATTTTGCTTTATCTCGATTCCATCGACCACCATCTCGACACATCGTACTCTAGAATTTCTTTCAATCTGAACAATGATAGATTTGGGGAAAGCGAACCGATGTCATTAACTCAGCTTTAATTTAGTTTCTCTTCACTATCAATTCTCCTCTCGATCACCCATATGTGCATTGTTGTTGTCGTTGCTAAAGCAAGAGAGTAATCTTCATACCTTCACACCACTTGGAAAATTTTCTACTTTGTTCAATCCACCACCTCTTGATTTTTGGTTGGCACGAGGAAGAGAGAACACATATTTATATATGGATTGGAAGGGGATTAGGAAGATGAAAGGATTGGGGGAGGATATGTGGTAGATGAAAGGAGCTAAAAAAATCAATAAGAAAGATAAAGTTAATGAAAGAATAATTAAGAGATAGAAGATTAGTAAGAGAAAATAGGGGAATTTAGAAGGGTGGGATCACGACGAAGAGAAGAGATAAATTGAGAGAGAGAAAGTTTGTATTTAAATGACATAATTTCCATTAAAAGAAAAGTGAAAAGAGTTATAATGAGAGGGTAAAAATGGTATATAGTGTTAATTATATAGAAGAGAGAGAGAGGAGAGAAAAACACTTCAAATTTTAGGAGTAAAAAATAAATTAAATAGATGATAAAACTTTTCATATTCTAAACATTTTAAATACAAGATTAAGTGAAATTAGAATTTTAAAAGGAAAAAAAAAAGATAAATAGTTATTTGGGTAGGTTAATTTGAGTAATGCATTTGGATGGTGGAGAAAAAATGAATGAAGAGTAAATGCGAAAGAAATATAATAAGAGAATTAAGATAAATGAATGTAAGAAATGAAATTTGTATAGGTGGAGATAAAATATTTTCAAAAAAAAAAAAGAGATAAATGGGAGAAGTAGGCGTGGGAATGAGAGAGAGGAAGAAAGTGGGAGAGGTAAATGACAAATTTGTCATCAAACTTTTATAAAAATGAGTTATGAAAGAAGGGTAAAATTGACCTAAAAAGTATCTCCTCATCACACATTTTAATATACTATAGATGATGTCAGCCACTAAGTGGGGTTTTTATTTGATATGGGTAGGAATGTAATTTACTCATGTCTTAAATTTATTTTTTTTATAATATTAAACAAAAGTGAGGATTTAAAACTTACTAGAGATATGTGTCTTAACTATTAAACTTAGATCGACATGAGAGTAACTAATGCTGATTTCGAAGAACTCTGAAAATCAGTTGGTTGGAGATTTGGGCAATCTCGCTAAGAGTGATGTTCCTTCTCTCTTTAATGAAATGCTTCCTTTCTCAAAAAAAGAGAAATATGAACATAGTTAAACGCATCTTGCTTCTTTCCCAAAGATTAGAGGTTTGATTCATCATTTCACATTTGTTATATATATATATATATGATCAAATTGGTAGATTCATACTTGTTTCTTAAATCGGGGGTGGATTTGAAATAAATGGTATGAATAAGTCGTTATCAACGATTTTTTTTTTTTGGAATATTGCAATTCAAAAGAAAGGTTTTTAATCACTTTTATTACACAATAAATGTCATAATGAAATTAGACAATGACCATGTAATTTTTTTGGTATTGTTTACACGTGACATAGATGTAAATAATAGTACGGTGATGTTGTAAATAAATAGGATGGAACAAAAATGTTGCCTTTCATTCTGAAACACACACAGCTTCCATTCTTATCTAAACTCATAAATGGTGTGGACCGAAAAGAGGAGGGAAATACTGCTTATGGTTTTCATCACGCAACGCAAATATGAGTAAGCCAAAAAATAAAAATAAATAAAAATAATTTGGCTACATGCAAGTTACTCAAGCCCAATTAATAAGCAATATAGAGGTCGGGGATGGAACTCACGACCTCTTGATTAGAGATATATGAAAACAACTTCTTATTTTTGTTTTGTTTTGTTTTTTTGAAATATTCTCAAAGTAGAAATTTTGAAAAGAAAAAAAATATGTTTCTAGTTCTCATTTTTAAATTATTCAAACACAAATAAAAATATTGTTCTATCGTCTTTGAAGGGATAGATTTTGAAGCATGCAATTCTATTTTTCCTCGTTAAAGAAACATAAACAAGAAATAGAAACATTATCAAACGAGTACTTACGACTTTTAAAAATAGACTTTTCACACGCACGCCCCACCAGCTATCACACACCTCCCATTTGTCAATTGCAAATTCTTTTAACACATAAGGAAATCATATGGAGAGAGTGGTCCAACTGTAACGAGAAAAGGGAACGGGTAAAGTAGCACGAGAGCGAGAGAGGATAGAGATAGCACATAACATCTGTGATAAGTTAAAAACATCACTTTTGCTAGTATGAAGCTTTTTGGGTAGCTTTTTAGGTGAAATTAAATGAAAATTTATATAAACTTAGCTAAAAAGTGGAATTATGAATACATTTTTCATTAAGTTATGCTGTGATAGGCTTTTAAAACTTAGGGACGACGAAAGTGCAAGATTAAAGGGGTAAAAGTAGATTTGTCTCAAAATTTGGTAGTTAATTTAAATTGGTTTTCTTCTTCTTTTTTTTTAATTTTCTTTTCTAATTCCAATTGAACACAAGAGGTAGATGGATTCGTATCTCTATTAATATTCTCCTTACGTTTTTAGTCCCATATCCCTCACATTTTTCATTCCTTCAATAACCAAACCACATCCCTGCATATCTCTCTCTACTTTCTTCTTTTTCATTTTTGTCCTCATTGAAATTTTAATCAAAGAAAATAGTTTTTAAAATATATAATTTGTATTATAAACTTTTACATTTTTTTTCTAATTTTTCTAAAAAATAAACATTTTAGCCGATACAGTTATTATCAGGATAGATTTATAATATACTCTTAACTATGTTGATTATGAGTAGCGGCATTTTTCTCTGTCTTTAACCAATGGACAAATGTGGCTTTGTTTATATGTATTAACATGTTGATATGTAGGTTCGTTGAGAGGGAGTACTAGGTACCTAGATTTTAGGTGATGACAAAATAACAAATTTTAATCCAAATGATTTGTTTTAATGACAGAGGCTAAAATAAACGTTTTGAGAGCTTAGAAATCAAGATGAAATTTGTTTGAATTATTCCGTGTGCAAATCACGAATTTGAATCACCGAAGACCTGCAAAACAAAGAGAAGCACTCTGGTGCTCAAGTCAGCGTTGATTTGAACTATTTTATTCTCAAGCGTTTATATAGATTGACGCATACCTTAGAGTGAATTTACCTCCAATATTTATAGTCAACAAATGGTTAGCATCATGGTCGCCCACAATGTAGGCATACTACTCGGTGCAATGACAAGTGGGAAGTTAAAGTAGTTATTTAAGTTCCAACATCCAATGTCACAACTCTACTTGGTAGTTATGGAAAGCAGGTTGATTGTTCGACTTTGAGCCTCTAAGATACAAGTATTCGAACTACGTGCGTACTTCTAATAACGTATACATGTGATCTACCATTTTTCACCCCATAATAAGATATAAACTTTTTCCTCTATATATCCATGAGATTCTAAAATAACTAACGTGGCACCTCAATTAATTCCTCTAACCTTGTAAAATATTATATTTTCAGAAAATTTAAGTTTTTATATCCTATAGAGGTAGATATATATGCGTATGATTTCTTTACACCTTCATGTTGTTGGCCATCCTATCCCAATTCAATATAGCATCAACTTCATAACTATATCATCCCTCCTTCACTTAGTCAGTTGGTTCCCTTTCTTCCTAGGCAGTTCGTTTCGTGTGTTTATATCAAATTCTACTAGATGAAATTCGAGCAAGGTGAACAGGAAAACCTGCCAGCAAAGAAATAAGCACTTCAAGACTCATGTCAGTCCAAAAATCTAAATCTCTAGATCAGTTTCAGACAGAAATTACATACCTGATTGAGTTGAGTGATAGTGCATTTATAGAGTTCGAGGAGGAATCTTTTGATTGCGAGAATCACGACAACGATCTCGACAGCAATCTTAGCAACCATTTATTATTCCATTAATGAGGTTGTTGAATTGCTCCCAAGTGCTCGTAGAAGTTGTGATCATTCGTCCTTGCTTGAGGTTCTAAGTTATACCGCATATCGACACCTTGAAATTGGTGTCCAACCTTAGTTCTTGATCCACATGGCATATTTAATTTTTCCTCCCAACACCATGAATTCTTTTAAAAAGAGCCGTCGTTTCTTCCTTGTTCAAAACTCTCG